GGGGGTATTGTAAAGAGCAGTTAGGGGGGAAATATTAATTAAGGGGGTATTGTAAAGCGTAGTTAGAGGGAATTAATAATTAAGGGGGTATTTTTATTAATTTTTAGATTCTGTAATTTTTAATTTAAAAAATATATAGTGTTCTACAACTATTTTTTTTGTGTCTGTGAACGCTCAATCTCAGCTCTCGCTGGACCGATTTTGATGAAAATAACATCAAAAGATCACAAATCGCATCTAGTAAGACATTACCTCAAAAATTGAAAACGTTTCTCTCGTACCCTGTAAATGGGGTATATCCTCCAAAAAATTACAAATGTAATAATCGCTAGTTTTCGACATTTTTTCAATTTTTTTTAGTTAAAACTGCAATAAATTTCTAAAAATTACCGAATCTATATCAGTTTTTTTTTATAGATGCATAATGTACCTTTACCTTTCATTTGGTATATTTTTTTTATAAATCTGACCCTTTGCCTGCCTACAGTGGGGATTCAAAATGACAACTTTTTTACAAAAAATTAACTTTTTCAACTTATCTTTTAAAAATGTTCCGGAAAGTCTGACACATTAATATATATCTTACATTACAGCTTATGTAATATACTTATAATATTAATATTATACTTTAATATTAAAAAAAAAATTTCGGACTTTAAATTGTTTTCATGGTGAAAATGGATACCGAATGCTATTTTGTGTGAAAATTCTCGATTTTATTTTTTATATTTTTAACTTTATAATGCTATAACTTATTGAAAAGTGTATGGATCAATAAAAATTTTTTATGAGAAATAATATTTATATCCCTCTTTCATTCGATATATTTTATCTTAATCAGGATATAAATAAGAAAATAGGAGATCATGTAGTTTTTGGAATAATCCACCAATATTTTAAAATTAAACACCATCTAAAGATTTGCATCGAAGCGTTTTTTATTATATGAAAGTTTTTTATGTACAATTTGGTTTTGGTAACTTATCCCCTTCAAGTCCGAATCGGGGTTGAAAATTCGCTCAAAAAGGTAATTTTTCATTTTTAGATTATTATTTTTAAAACTAACACACTTATCGTAACATTATATAGATTCTATATTGATCAATATTGAGTATTTAGTTTTCAAAATAAACTAAAACTTTTTATAAGTGATTGAAAATCAAACAATTTTACTCAATTTTCATGTTTAGAAAAAATAGAACAGTGTTTGATTGAATCAGAAAGAAAAATTAATTGTGATGACTATGTACTTAAACTTGAATTTCTATTTGCTGATTTCGAAGAACGATTTTGAGACCTAAAGACATTGAAACCCTCATTCGGATTTTTAGAAAATCCATTTTTAGTTAATGTCTTTGAAAACGGATGTGCAATATCACATCCTATTGTCACAAATAAAGCGGATATTGAAATAGAACTCTTGGAGTTATTAGAAGATGAAGGTCTTAAACAGTTTATGAACAATTGTACCTACTAGAATTTTGGAAGCATATTTCTACATTAGAATACCCAAATATTAAAAATTGATATCAATTTTCGAAACGACGTATTCATGTGAATCACTTTATTCAACAATAAAAATAATTAAGTCAAAATATCGTTCAATTTTGACTGATGATCATCTCACAGAATTACTAAGAAATGCTCTTACATCAATTCAACCAGATTTTAAGAAGCTTACTAAAAAAGTAGACACGAAAAAAATACCATGCAAACAAATTTAGCGTAATGTTAATTTTTTTTATTTATTATTCATATAATATTTATTATTTTTACTTTGTACTTGTTTGAACACAGCGCCTGGTGGTATTCACGCGGGTTCGTTAACGTTCGTGGTTTTGTTTTGTCTTAAGTTTTTAGCTATGTCGAGGATAAAGAATAAGGTGAGTGGACTGTATGTTTGAATGTAGAATGAATTTCACAAGATATAATTATAACAATTAAATGTATTATACAAGAAATGTAAAATTTTATATACATCTATGTGGATAGGGGGAACACTTAATACTAAGGCGATGATATAAACAAATAATAAATTATACAAGTGAGTCTTAGAAAGATAAATGAACAAGCATTATACTTATCTGCTAAATGAAACGACTGATGATAATGTTGAATATTGAAAGGATCAATTGAAGTCGAATGCATGTAGCTGACCAAAGTGTACAATATGCTGTCAAAGGTATTGTGATGTATCTCAGAAAATATATAGACCCAACGGCGATAAACTGAGCGCACAGGGTACTACAATCGCATAGGTGATATTTTCTTTTTACAGTAAAAACGAATACAAAACTTCTGGCTCGCAAACGCCATAGAGCTTATAACAGAAGAAGCGTTAAGATGGCTGCGACAATGGTAACATAGAGAGAAAACCGACAACAATATGTAACACAACGATAACATAAATAATCAAAAACACATTTTCTTGACAGCATATTCGATCGATGTGTATTCAACAGTACTCTATAAAATTTAATAAAATTATTAATAGAAAATTAAAATTTTGGTTTTTGTAAATAATACCGAGAGCCGCATACAATTATGACAAGAGCCGCAATTTGGCCACCCCTGATATGGAATATAAATTATAGATTTTAATATTTTCTTATAAAATGGTAATTACAAAAATTTTCTAAAATTATATTTACTTGCTCAAAAAAATAAAATAAAAAATTCATTTGTTAAAATTCATTCTTAATTTTCGAAATAATCATTTTATAACAAATTATTTCGTAAAAAAAAATTTGTATAGTTAAATTTTTTAAAATATCATAGAATTATATAAAATTATAGTCAGATTTATTGTTTTGCTGTTTTAATAACACTAATGATTTAAATAGGATTGTTTAAAACTGTTTATTCAAGGTACTACGATTATAAATAGGATACAATTAATAATTAAAAAATTAGTGATAGACTTTTTCAAATATTTTAAAAACTATTCGAATGGAGGTACCGAATAGTTCTAAAAACTATTCGTATAGACTATCGAATATATTTTCTATTCGAATAGTTTTTCAATGACTATCGAATAGTTCGATAGTTACTATTCGATATTTCACATCACTACTAAAAATAAACTATTAAGTTGTATAAACACAATTCGAATAGTTAATCGATAGTTAAAATTATTTGAAAATGCCCATCACTAATTTTTACTATTATTAATTGTGTAATAATTTATTTTAAGTATTTGTTTATTATCTTCTTATAATAATTAAGGGTACTGAATAAAAATTTTAAGTAAAACTAATCGAATATTTTTTGAAACCATTCGATAGCCCATTCGAATACTTTTTAAAACTATTCGATAGTTTATGCTAAAAATAAACTATTCGGTTGTATAAAAACAATTCGAATAGTTATGCGATAGTTTAAAATATTCGAAAATGCCCATCACTAGTTGTAACTATACTGTCGGCTTAGTTTGTTTTAAATCGGTAATCCGTCGATAACCAATAACGTCAATATTATTTTTTGTTGTGTTATTATTGATAACACTGTCTGCTTCTTATTAAAGTTGTTTGTGTTTACGTTTAGTTTTTATTTTTGATATTCTTGACATTTTACTCTTTCTTTTCTACACTAACAATTTTCAGGTATGTCGGATGCGGCTATTATAAATATTATGTTGTTTTTTTATTATTTTGTCTTTTTTTTTTTTAGAGTATATAAATAAGGAACTGAGTCATACTAATTTTTCATTCGTTTTCTCTGTTACAATTTTTTACACATATTTCAATTTCTATTGTGTTTGTACATTTTTTTACCATAATGAGCATAAAAATTTTGATCTTGTCAAATTGAATTTTATGTAATCTGTTATTTGACGTATTCGGCTTCCACAGATTTTTCCAACTTTTAGTTGTCTACGTCTTTTTCATGTTCTTTTATAATTTTTCTTCTTATTTGTTCAATGTATGACTTGCTCTACATGAACACGGTATTTCTTAGACACCTGGTGTTAGAATTTCCAACAATTCGTCCTTCGGAGTAGTGTTTCTATGACTGTGTTCGGTTTTAAGACGGTCCTTATTTTGAATTTATAAGTGATTCTTGAAATACTATGTGTAATTAACATTGCCGTGTATATACACCAACATTAGTGTTGGCGTACTTTCTGATTGTCTTCCTTGTTTTCATTTTCGAAATGTTGCTTACTATATTTTTTCTTCTTTCGGCCTTTCTTAATGCCGTATTTCTGTTTTTAATTGCGTATCCATTTGGTTTGAATTGACATGTAGATCTGCCAATGTGTGTGCTTTTTCTGTACACTCCCTATGCTGAATTTACCAATTGACTGCATTATACTTGTACGCCCGAGAACGGTAGTTGTTCGTTTTTCTCATTTTCTATTGTGTACTGTAAGTTGGTGTGTATGCTACTTAGGTGTTTCAAGAACCTTTTTAAAAAGGTTCTTGACAGATACCTACATGTCAATTCATACCATTCCCTTACATAAAAAATAGGATTCCTACATACAATGGCAACGAGTACTATAAAAATAGCTGTCGAAGACAACGTAAAAGAATAAAAAAATATATCTACGATAGGTACTTCAAAACAACGAATACACCATTAAAAACATAAACAAGAAAACATAATAAGAATGTTGTATTGATATCACACTTGTGTTAGCTAAGTAGATAAGTGACATCGCTTATACGGCACCTTTTAAAAACGAATCTACTTGTAGTTTAGAAAGTACTTAAAACAAATAATATCTTCATGAACCCTGTTTTGTCATGTGAATGTGACACACGAAGAGTGCTTTTTGAGGTTTTGGTATAAAATTTGAAAATACGTTGGAATTTTTTGTTGGCAGTTAGTAATTTGATTCCTATTCGTAGTGAGGTTTTCATTCTACTAAGTTGGATATCTTACAAATATTTCAGTAGATGATACATTACCAAAATTATCATTTTCGTTCAAATAATTATAAAGAGTCAGAATTTTAATTCATCTCACAGTATTGTAATTGTTTGCTAGTAAAACCACCAATTGCACTTGTTGAGTATATTTTTCGTGGCTGAAAGAAATTGTAATGGTAATGCTTGTATTTTATGCGGTAACAAAACGAGTTGAACACTTATTAAATACTTATTGAGATTCAAAAAAATTACAAGAATTAATGGTATCACTAAATACAGCCTTTTGTATGTGAAATGGTTTCAAAACCGATCAATATATTATAGCTAGCAACAAATAAATAACAATGAAAAAATAATAAATAATGAAATGTAATTATTAGCCAGCTATTAAAGATAGCAATGATAACTAGAGATGTAATAGTAGCGAAAAGTTATACACAAGTTATGATCTTAAAATGTGTTATTTTTTTAAATATAAAATTAACGTCACTGCATTATAAGTAACAACCAAAAATGTTAAAAAAACTAATATAATATTTATATATTTTTTTTTTTAATAAAGGCTATAAAAAAATGAAAAAATTTTTTTAATACTTATTTCAATTAGCTAGTAGCTTAAATTTAATCAAGTACACGCTTTAATAAATCCAAATAAAAATAATGAAATATAATTATATAAATAAATTTCAATCATATAATTTTTGTAAAAATACCAATTAATTAAAACTTTAATTAATTATTCAGGTAAAAGTTTTCCTGAGTCATATACCTACAGGTATATTCAATAATTAAATTATAATTATTAGTAATGTTTAAATATTGTCTAATGAAAATGGTTTAAAGGTTTTTAAAAAATGTATTTTATTTAGTATAATGTCAATAATATGATTTGTTTTATTTTTATAAAACAAACTAGTTTTATTTTTCTGATAAAATCATCACATAAGTTACACGGGGTATTTTTAATGAAAATTACACTTTAAAACAGGTGAGTAACAAAAAAAAAAGGATATCAAAAATAAATTTTGTTTTTTTGTACCGCCATGAAAAAAATGTATGTAAGGTATTGAAATTAATGGACAAAACCGCCGTTATAATATATTATTATAGTTTGAATAGTCTCATATTAGAAGACCCTATGTAATTTCTTTAATTTATTCCATTAAATTGAATTATAGGCATTTTATTATTATAAAAATTACATTTATTTCTAATAATAACATTGACAATCATGTTATAACTTTATTTTTATTATAACATACATAATTGGTTTCATAATAAAATATTTGTATAATTTTACATAATTTCTTAAATAGATAAAATGATTACATAGAGCCAAAAATGAAGTATTAATACACTTTAAAAATTATAAAACATAATAATAATAATAATTTAGTAGATATAAATTTTATAACATATATTATGAGGAAAGTCATAAATTCTACAACTTCTACTTTTATATATTTTAAAGACTAGATCAGTAATAAATTATGATTTGTTTTTATATTAATTATTATTGTAATAAATTAAATCTCTATAACTTTATACTCGAGAATATAAACAGATTCTCTATGTGCATACTATATTATAATTTAAGTAATTATATGCATCTCAACACAACTATACATTTCACAAAGACCTATAAGTGGACAAATTCGTATCAGTCTTTCAATTTATTTTTCAATTACATTCTAATTTACTTTTATAGATGCAATAAGTAAAAATCATAGTTTAAATTAAGTTGATCAATATTTAAAAGGTCAAATAAAAGTATTTATTATACATATAATAAAAAAAATTTTATCATCAAAACACTGTAATGTCTTCAAATTTAAGAAAATTGAGACAGTCTTAATTATACAAATAAAATAAATAAATAAATATACATGAAAGTAAATTCGCTGAATTTTGTTTTCGTCACTTGCAAGTGTTAGATAAATTTAGAGTATAAATAAAAAACATTGAGCAAAACTACAAGGGCAACATTTACTATTTAGGAATACTTTATAATTATAGGTAAACATAAGGAGGTAAAAAAAACACACGTACACACATTATCTTAACAAGTACAGTCTGTATCTGTCATTTAACTATTTTTATAATAGTAAGGAAGGAGATTTATTAATATTATTTTAAGGATCACTATATCCTTAGCTTTCACCATTATAAAAATTATATTAATAAGTAGAATTAAGACCATCCATATCAAAATACAAGAAATTGTATACATTATAGCACAAATCATCAAAAAGCAGTATAATAAAATGTAATGAATATCATGAATAACAATGCAAATAGTTGTTTTATAAATTCAAAAAAAAACAAAAAAAAATTAAAAAGAGTAATAGATATTTTACACGTGGAACGGTTCAGTTGTAATTTGGAAGGATTTAAATTATTTCAAATATATATTGTATTTTGTAACTGGCTATACTAGGTGTCTATAAATTGAAATTTTAAATTTTACAAAATTGGTAATTCAAGTATCACTCCACAAACACTTAAAATAAATACTGTACACACAAATAACTTTATTATACCAGTAATAATTGGTCAAAATATTTATTTTGTCCGACATTTTAAGTTTAAAACAATTAAATTAACTGACCAATGTTTTATTAATGAACATTGGTAATTTTGAATCCACATTAATATAAATAAATATATGGATTAGTTTTTAAAAATATGTCTGTACAGTCAAAATAATATAATATTATAAATATGTGTACAAAATTTAAGAGGAATGTAATACAATTCACCCATATAATCACTAACCTTTATCTTTGAATAACATTCATAATATCTTTTAAAGTATTTTCTAATGTTTGGAATATAGAAGAATTGTCAGTTTGTTGCCGACCTCCACCAGCAGACCTCATTTGCCTCGATTGAGATTCCAATTTATTTAGCAACTCGCGTAAATGAAACCTAAGATTTGGTGGTGCTGCTGAATCAACATAATTAAGACAAGAAGAATGAAATCCCCCAACTTTATCTGAAAGAGCTAACCACCCTGCAGATGTGATCATTGGAGTTGCTTGCAAAGTCTTTAAGCTATTCTCAACAGCTTGTAATTGTTCAACTAAATTAGAAGGAGCTCCAGGAGTAGCATAAATTGCATTTGATTTTGTTGATTTAGTAGGTTTAAGGGGTACAGTAGGTTTTTCTTCATGAGGTGGCCAAATACGTCTTTCTTTATTTGTTTCAGGGGGACTTTCACCTTCCCATAATTTTTTCAAACTATTTATACTGCCTGTACTGCGTCTTTTATCATCAACTTCCTCTGGATTATTACTATCACATTCAACACTCTCACTTTCTTTTTTGTTTTCAATTTTTACCTTTTTTAACTGTGATTTAACTTCTGCAATATTATTATCTATTCGATTTTCTTTACGCTCTATACTAATTTTTTTCAAATTTGTTTTAAAGTCAACAGGTGAGTTTGGCTTATCATCTTTAAATTTTTTTTCATTTACATGTTTTAATTCCATCATTTCTTTCATAATATTTGGTACAAGACTTTTTATATCTTTATTATCTTCATCTGAACTTGGAGATAAGTCAATATTCTTCTTTGGTAATAATGGAGAGGGTTCTAATGTTGGTTCATTTTCAGTCAATAATTTATTCTCTTTTCGGATATTTTTCAGTCTTGCAGGTTCTGATTTAGCACTGTTACAAGAATCAGTAGATGGTTCTCTATGTCTAAGACTCACCCCAAACCTAAATGTAGAATGTTCCTCTAGATCTAAATCTTCGGGAGGTGGAGGAGGAGGAAATTCCAAATCTGCTAAATTTGGAGGAGGTGGCTGCGTACGTGTTGTTCGAGGTGAAGAGGGCTGGAAATTTGTAGATGAATTACTTCTAGTCATATTTCCTGGCTGTTGAAAAGTTCTTCGTAATGGTGTATTAGTACGATTATTAGGAAGTGGTTTAGTATTATTAATTTCAATTGATTCTCCATTTCCATGTCTTAAGGACTCTAAATAAGCACCAATACGAGCACCTTTAGGCAATGTACCATAACGATTTATAGCTCTTTTTACATTTTGTACCTCCAGAGCAGCAACTTTAGGAGTATTTAAGTTACTAGTATCTCTTTGATATAGAGGATTTGAAGCTTGATGTTTAGATGTTTTTTTAGTTAAAGATCCACGGTGGACACGATTTAAAGGTGGTATATTAGAACATTCATTTTCAATTTCTATTGGTTCAGCACTTTCTTCACTTGCTCCATCACTATCACCCAAACTAGTTATAGAATTATGAACATCTTTATTAACACCTAAAATTAATTGATTTAAAAAATAAATGAGATTTCTTTTTTAATTCTAAAATTAATGTTTGAATAAATATAATAAAATATAAATATTTAATTATAGATCATTTTAAATTAATTTCAACCGTGATATTAAACTATTTGGTTATCAATATACCATTATTATCAGTAAGTTTCATTAAAAACCAACAAGTATCAAAAAATTATTATTTAAAAACAGACAAACCATTAGCTGCATGATTATCTTCAGAGAAATGTTGTGATGGAAGAGACATAGCAGTATCACCTTGATCTGTGGTTATGGGTCCACCATAATGTGAATCTCTAAATGAACTACATGATGACAATAAGCTAAAAAATACAATGATTAATTATATCTTGACAACAATTAACTCATTAATAATTTTTAAGTACCTAGTTCGTTTTGGAGGTGCTGGGGCAGTTTTTCCACGTTTATTTGTAGGACGTCTTAGTTGAACAATATTCCCTTTAACAATTGGACCACCAAAAGTAGAAAGATTGCGCTCAATTTGTGAAGTTCCTTCTAAAAATTATACAAAATTATGAATTTTATTCAAACTCAACATAGTTCAACACAATGTTTTTAATATAATTTGAAACTATAACTATAATAATAATACTATAACATTTATCAATAAAAGTTTAAATTATAAAATACAAAATGTGTAACTCAAAAATCTTTCATTTTGATTTAACTCTACAGTTAAAAGAAGGGCAGGGATGACATTTAATTTATCAATCATTTGTATTACCCAAAATAACAGTTAACAAAGATTAGAACAACATAATTTATGTAGAAAATAACTTGAACATTTTAAGACATATTTTTTTATGATACTTTATAAAATTTGTCAGCTTATTTTAAAACATGTAAAATAATTAGTTACCATTTTATTAAAATTTATTAAACTGAGAGGTATAAGTATAAACAGTAGCAACAATGTCTATACTAGTGAGCTCACTAGAAAATAATATCTTAGAGGCAACTTCTTACCTATTTTTTTTTTCTCGCCAAAAATTTTTTTTACTCTCTAACGCTATTTAAGATAACATAAATAAGCAAAATAAAATAATATTATTACCATGACTAAAAATTTAAACACCACTAAATTTTTCCAGGGAAGAAAAAAAACCTGACTATCTCCTAGTTGTGCTACCGAGTGTAGGGATCTTGGAATTTTTAATCTAATATGAGACCTAAATAACTTTTGAAAATATATTATTATAAAATTGAATTGCTTATTAACTAAATTTTAAAAATATATATGGCATATTTTGTTTTGCTTATTGGATACATTGGTCAATCTAGGTGATAATTATCTACATGGCATACAAAAATCAGACAATGTATACATTGATGAACATTGTACTACAAAGATTGATTTTCCATTTTACTCACTCGTAACATACACGTATAAACTGATGTGTAGAGCACAAAGTCAGCAATCTCTTTTTTTATATTTTACAATTTTTAAATAAATCTAAATATATTTTTTTAATGTATATAAATAATGATTTTCTAGAGAAATATATATTAATTTTTCATAAAAAACCAATTTTTTTTTTTTATATTGAAATTATAATTGTATTCCAAAGTTATAAAACAAAAAAATTTAAATAAATAAATATAGTTTAAAAAAACTAAAAAAACACGCTTTTAAAGCACATCGAACTAAAAAGTTAAAAATAATTTTTAAAATAAGCTTAAAACAATAATGAACAAAATATACTAGTATTATTGCGATAAAAGCGTCGGGTGCTCAATATACGAAAAATATGGCACAAAGCACCCACAATTTTATCACAATAATACTAGTATTTTTCGTTCATTGTTTTAAGCTTATTTTAAAAATTATTTTTAACTTTTTAGTTTGATGTGCTTTAAAAGCGTGTTTTTTTAGTTTTTTTAAACTATATTTATTTTTCACTTTTTAGTTTCATGTTATGATAGTAGTTACTATCAATATCATGGTTGTAACGGGTAATGGGAAATCAGGGTTCGATTCCGGGGAGGTAGTCTGAGAAACGGCTACTACTTCCAAGGAAAGCAGCAGGCGCGTAAATTACCACCCACTCCCGGAACATGGAGATAGTGACAAAAAATGACGATACGGGAATCATCCTTTGTAATTGAAATGAATACACTCTATATCTCTTAATGAGAATAAAGCGTATTAATATATAAGTTTTAATAGTAATTAGAATATATATATATACATGTAAAGCGACGTAAACGTATCATGCACTAGGTATAGCTATGTTTTGTGGGTGGGCGAGTCGGACTAACGTTATACCTAAGGTATAAACGGCTGTAAGAATATTTTCGTAAGCCGTATGGCACGCGGATGGTATTGGTCAGTCATAATAAAAATTTGTTTATATATATATAATATTTATACAGGAATAGTGATGCCGTGTGGTGAGTGAGGCATGGGATGAGGTGAATGCGTTATGACAGTCTAGTCTCAAGGCCATAGATGACGGAATATGCGATAACGCGTGGCGCTTGGAGAGTTACATACATACATACATACAGGTGAAACTAATATAAGCGTGTTAAAAAAGGATATTACTGACTTCTGTGCAACACCTCAGTTATTATATAATTTTCTGTTTAAAAACATTTATAATCAAATCATACTAAATTTACCAATTGTCTCTGAAGATGCTCCTAAAGTGTTGGTATTATTTCCATGAGATCTTTTATGAGATAATTGAGGTGTTATACTTCCTTGTAATTGCTTTTCCACTTCTAAAATTTTAAAGCACTTGGTTAATTAAAATTTGAAATTGAAGTTAAGAACATAAATTTACCCTCAATTATATTAGATTCTTGAAACATATTTTCTAAAGCATGGTGAATATCTTTAAAGGATGGTCTTTCATTTGGAGACCATTGCCAACATTGTTTCATCAAGTGATAAATATTGGGTGGGCAGCCTGGCGGACAATCCATTCTAAAAATGAATATTAAAATGTCAAATCTATATTATTTGTTTTAGTTAAAAAGCTTTTGATTTTACCGATATCCTTTTTCTAGCATATGATAAACATCTGTTAAATCAACACCAGGATATGGTGACATGCCATATGTAGCTATTTCCCAAAGTAATACACCAAATGCCCATACATCAGACTGCAAGATAAAATTTATAATGAATTTATGTATATTTAAAATGTATTTTTATTATTATTATTATTATTATAAAAATATGTATTAGTTAGTTGAGTAACAAATTGTTATCTTTAAATACAAAAATTATCTATAACAAAAATATACAAATAAAACAATACATTTATTAAAATAATAATTTGTTAGCCTAAGTCATTAAACATTAGCAAATAATACAAAATTTTAGGAAAATAATAAAAATGCATACTTTAGTTGAAAACTTATTGTAAGCTAAACCTTCAGGAGCTGTCCATTTAATAGGAAATTTAGCTCCAGCATGAGCAGTGTAAGTGTCATCCCTCATTAATCGAGCTAAGCCAAAATCTGCTACTTTAACAAGATGATTTTCACCAACAAGACAGTTACGAGCAGCTAAATCTCTGAAAAGTGTTTGATTATAGAATTATAGTAATATTTTATAAAAAAAAATCATGGTGATCAGGTTATCATAAACTATTCAATTATTCTGAAATACACCATTGAACATTTTTTTTTAATTTCTTTTAATTATGTATATATTTCTTGATCCATCAGCTAATAATTACTTTTTAGAATCATCCTTTCAAAGTAATAGAGGAGTATTAAATTTATTTTTTTAAATTGTAATATATATATTTAACTAGTTTGTATAATAGGAAATAATCTAATTAAGAAAATTACTGGTTAATAACAACTTTTGGACCAGTATTTCAGGATTTATTTACAATTTAAAGTAATGACTGAAGGTGAGGAGTGGGTACTGCTATTTTTATCACTAGTTATTTCCCAGTCATACTCTTACTCACGCCTAGGTATAAAAATAAGAATAACTTCCAAAGTATATTGGTTTATGATAAACCAATTACCCTGTATAATACAAGATAATTTAATACACTTACCTATGAATAAACATTCTACTCTCTAAATAATTCATTGCACTAGCTATTTGTGTAGCCATATACATTAGAACAACAGCATTTATATTTTCTCGACTATCAGATCTTAAATAGTCTAAAAGATTTCCTTTACTCATAAACTCTGTAATGATGTAAAAAGGTGGCTCTCTTGTACATACCCCTATTCAAAATATGTGTTATAAATTTAAAGAAAATAAATGATTATTTTAAAGTAATTTTAAAAAATTACCTAAAAGTTGAACTAAATTTGGGTGTTTCATCTCTTTCATAATAGAAGCTTCTTCTAAGAAATCTTTTAGAGCCATTGTATCTTCCTATAAGGGTAAAAAATAATCATTATAGGACTTAAATTATGAATTTAAAACTTTACATGGTAAATTATTAGTTTCTCATGATTTATAATTCACTATTTATTACAGAGATTCTCATTATATATATATTAAAATTAAGTATTCATCAAAATTTAATTGTATTCAGTTTTTAATTTTTTTCAAAATTACAATTGGTTAAAAATTAGTAAATGTAAGTATAAAAAGTTTACTTTTAAAGTTTTTACTGCTACAGTCATATTATAACGTTTCCACACAGCTTCATAGACATCACCATATTGTCCACCACCCAATTTATGTCTCATAACAATGTCTGTGCGATTTATTTCCCATTCATCAGGTTCTGGACTAAGAGCAAAAACTGTTGGCTTGTTATGTTTAGGGGCTGGATATAAAAGTTGAGTAATGAGACCATCTGAGTGCATTGAATGATGATGAACTAATTCAGCAAGAGTATTGAAACGGCTTTCAGTAGTCACATAAACCTAAAATTGTTCAAATTTAATTTAATTAATATTAAGTGTCACTAATTGCAATTTCACAAAAATTTACTTTGCCATCAGATGTATCTTCATTTATACGATAATGATATACTCTGCCTTCATATCTAAGTGAAATTGATCGTTGACCAGGAGAACTTTCACTTTCCCGTACTAAAAAACTACCATTTATACCAGAACTCAAGAGATATTCAGCAGCATTACGTGATATAGGACCATGATACCATGAATGTTTTTCTAATGAATTTACTGGTGTTACATAATTTGATGGCACCCAACCTACTTGCCCAGGTAAAGCATGAGCTTCACACCATTCTCCACTTTTGTTGTATGATAAAATTCGAACTTGCTCTCCTGAATTGAAAAAGAAAAATATTTAGTATAGTATAAACAAATAGTAAACATTTTTATTTATTAATTCTAAGTTTTTAGACTAAAATTCTAAATAAGTAAATTACCTTTTTTTAAACTAAGTTGATTATCACCACCTGCTTGAAAATCATATAAGGCAACAAATAGTTGTGGATCATCATCTTCTTGTGATTGTAATAAATTTTCTTTAGATGTCCATTTTATTGAAGATTCTAAATTACTTGATGTAGTTCCACCACCGGACCCACCAGAGCTTCCACCACCAGAAGGAATAGATCCAGGTGGGTCTCCATCAGGAAGATCTGGTATGTGAGGTAAAGGTCGACTTTGTAGCAAAGCTTCTAATTAAATTAGGTATTAAAAAATTAGAATAAATAATAAAACTGAAATTCTATATAAAATTAACAACATAATTAAAATTATCTACTTATTGAAAATTAATTAATTTAGCTATTATCCAATTATGAAACTTTTATGGTACATCATATTTAAACAAACACTAATCTTGAGAAATTTTATTTAATACCAAAAAATTTTTCACTTTTTTACTTTTGTTTATTTTTTACAAATATTACAAATTTATATAAATTTGTAAAAAAAAAAAATTATGTACATATACAAACCATATTAAAGGTATTTAAAAAAATTTTCATTTCTAATTTTATATTGCCATCAGGATTAATGTTAGTACAATATTTTTATATTATATAAATTTGGTTTGCAATTAAACAGTCAGATGTCTACAATCATTCTGTATTAGACAATTCCTTTTTCATCATGACCATCAACACTACACTTTTTCTTCAATTCAGTAACCACCCTCCATTATCAAACAAAACAACAGAATTGAAAAAAAGTACGAACTAACAACACTAATTTAAATATTAAACTAAAATCTTCAAAATATAGCTGATACTAATAAAAATTTAACGTAATAAATATAATCTGAAGACAGCAGTGATTGACCTAAAAAATGCAGAAAACATTTTACTGAAGTATTCAAATCACATGAAACTATAATTCATACTAAACTCTCAAAAAAAGTAGAAAACTTTCTAACTTCTCTATTCAAAATACTACTATTCCCACAAAAATCATTTACTCCAGCTGAAACCAATCATTGTATGTCTACTTTTTCAACAATAAAGTCCTTGGGTTTTTATCTAATTACCAATGAGATAGCAAAATTATCCCAAAAAATACACTAATACTTCTAATGTATATTTTTAAATCTATCATACTACCTATTATAATAGAAATTTAATTAGTAATAATACTATCATTTCCTTTTTAACCATCCTAACTATATAATACAAGATCTCACTCTACCTCCAATGTCTGGCGATTCTCCCAAAAGAATTAAAGAAAGTGATGCAAACATTTTTTTGACCTACTGTAAAAAAAAAAAAATGTCAATTCAATAAGTATCAGTTAGCAACTTTTCATCTCAAAATAATCAAACCAACAAATATATTATCATCTTTAATACTTATTGTATGATTCTGATAAAGTAAAATAAAAATGACTTCAAGTCAATAATAAAATTGTAGAATTTAAGACAGAAATTTAAATTATATTATTTTACATTTATCTATAAAATCAATATTTTTCTAATTATATCAAATTATACTAGTTAATTTAAGAACTAATTGGTGAAGTATTATAGTATATTTTACTAATATATTTTCACCAACATGGTTGTTTAATTGTAAGGTAAGTAAGTCATAACTTAAGTTAATAAAAACTATGAAATATGAATAATAAAAATTTTAAACTTACCACTATGTTCAGTAAAAATGTTCAACCCTTGATTTTTACCATCTTTGGCAGTAATAAAGCGTGGCTTAACACGAGTGCTACGTGCAGTCAATGATCCCGATGACAATGCACGATCTTTGGTCTGCTGAGCACCCATAACTTGAGACCATTACCCTACAACAAAGTATAATCCACGAATCCAGCAAACAAGCATAAGGGAAGACATCCAAGATAAAAAAAGAATATTTCACAGTTCAACGAAAACATGGCATAGATAAGAAGAACAATAATACAATTTTAAATTTAACTTAACAAAAATAACAACTTAAATACAGTAATAAATTAAAACTATAAGTTATAAGTTAAAAATTTGCTCTAACATTAACGTTGAAGCCTATGAATCAGATTTTTTTCTCTAGATTTAACTTATCGCTTATCAGTATAAATACTACTGTGGAAGAAATGAATTTCTATGTTTAACCTTGGTTAAAGACTAAATTTATTGATAAAGTCATTAGGGATATTAAATAAAAATGATAAGAGGTTAATGTATTTTCAAATAAATTTGTTTTTGTCCATGAAATTGAATTAAATTTTTTAATTAAATATTGAAAGTTATTACTTCTAACAATCAAATATAAAATAAAATAAACAGTGAATATTTTATTTCAACTGTGAATAGTATATTTTAATAAAATTATTTCATGGTTAGTGATACTTTTTATTACGCAATATTTGTTAAACATATTTTTTTATTTTTTGAATGTTATATTATAAATTATTGGCAAACTTAAAATACGTTATATAATTTATTTTCTTATATATTAGTATGTGATGCATTTTTTTCAGTCGTTCTTACCTATAAGAAGGGCATTAATAATTAATGCTTCTGTCATAAACTCACTTATTACAAAACGAAGTCAAATGATTTACTTAAATACATATAATTGCACTATCCAAAAAAGATATGCAGTATCAGATCACATTAGTGCTAATATTAAAAATAAGTGGTATGATCTGGTTGAAAGATTAAACATAGTAAATCCATTAAGTAAAACAGTAAGTGCATCTTCTTAAAATGTTTTACTATAAAACTGTAATATTTTAAATGTGTATATTTTCCCATAGTTAAATAACTACTAATGATTTTTGTAGCTATAACGTAGACCTAATAAGAGGGAGTGCTTTGGCTACTAGCATTCCCAAATGTATTTTGTCATTTTTAATGCTAATTAAAAAATTGTGTAAGTTTTTATATTATTGTACATAATTAGAGTTATACTGCTTATTTATACTATCATTATATTAAAGTACTATCAAAGTATTTCATATTATGTATAACAAACAAAATACTTTTGTAATTCAAGTACTTAAATCTGAACCACTATTTTCCCCTATGTATAATATATTTCTTAAGACATTTAAGATTTTGCTGCTCGCAGAGAGCATAGTTTCTATGCCTCCTTTTTTTGCTTTAGACAATGATCTCTCCTAAATTCACATCTCGGTTCTTGTTTTACAATTATTTAAAAATGTATTAATCAACTCTTAAAATATATTAATAATACTAATTAATAAAAGAAATATACTAATAATTAACTTTAAAACTAAGAATATTAATATTGTCTCAAATAAATATTTTACAATAACATAAAATAATTTTAGAGAATTCAAGCTAATAGCTGGTTATTATATGAGACTCTAATTGACCAAATTCCATTTAATATTATAATGAAAAGTAAGAAATTGAAGACACGTTTTTGTTTGTACTCAGATGATTTATCTTTAAGTAAAATTGCAGAACTTGATTTACCTGATACATTTAACACTTGGTTTATAATCACTGAACTTCATCTGTGGATGGTATTTGTAAGAATAATGAATGAAAAGACCAAAGGACCTATGATTAGAAATTATATGATGGAAGCTTTATGGAATGATGTTGAATTTCGAACTAAAAAGTTAAGAGTAAGTTTTCTTTAGTGATCTATTATTCTTGTTGATATTTACTAATATAGCAGTAAAATAGTTTTTCTTACTGGTGGGTAGATGTTTCATAATTTTTATTTTTTTTGAGTATTTAATGAATTCTGAATAACTAAAATTAGGTAAATCCAGATACTCGTCAAAATCAAGTTAAAGAACTAAGTGAACAAATTCGTGGAGCTTTAATTGGATATGATGAAGGTTGGCTAACAAATGATATAAATCTAGCGGGAATGGTATGGAGAAGAATATTTAATCAACAATGCAATGATCCACAAAAATTAGAAATAGTTGTAAAATATATTAGAAAACAGGTGAAATACTTTCTTTAAATTGTAGTTTCTTATTATAATTTTTTATGTAATTTTAATTAACAGATGGCTAATCTTCAAATGCAATCATTTGATAGCTTATATACAAACAAAGAAATAAAATGGATTAACTTTGTATAGAAACAAATTATATTGTAAATAGAATAACAATGTAATATTACATATACATATTATGTATGTCATTATTTACACTAAAATATATTTAAACGCATATGAGTATATAAATACTACATGCATGTATATAAGTTCTCCTTTTATACTTCAACATGTTTAATAAAATTATAGTTGAAATTCATTTTTTTTTTTTTTAGTTAAAATTAACTATGTTTAGTGTATATCTCACAAAATTCATTAAGTGTACTATTAGCGATTCTATCAAAACTATCCGTCATATTAATAGTTTCTTGAATCGTTTCATCATTTTTGATAGAAGAACTTCCATCAGCTAATTGTAAACTAGCAGACAAGTTAGCAGACAATACATGCTCACTATCTTCTATCATAGTGAATGCTCTCAAATCATTCGAATCCAAACGGTCTAAACTAGAAAAGGTCGTTTCCATTAGAGTTGAATCATTATTGCCTTCAGTTGGACATGGTAAAGATGTAATAGATATTGTTGTGGGAGGTACACAAGTAGTTTGAATAGGTGTAGGATTTGTTTGGTTGTTAAGTGTTGGGCATACCTCTGTTACTGTACATCCGCTAATTGTACCACAGTTATTTTGAATTCCTGAATTATAAGAACACAATTATGTCATTAGTTTATTGCAAATAAAAAATGAATAATTTTAAATATCTCAAAAAATATATATTTTTTAATACATCAATTTAAAGAAAATATAAAATTTCTAATAAAATAAATAAAACTAAAATGCATTCACAATTTAGTCTATAAAATTGAAAGTTAAGTTAATGAGATCAGAGTTGAAAAAAAATATCATCAACAATAAAATACTATATACTCAAGAAAATAACCGGCAATTTTATATTCTTTCAAAAGCCAATAAATATTCTAAATAAATCTATAATTAATTATACATAAATGATCTTGTTTTAATTATTTAGATCTAATTGACTCTAAATAAAATAAAAATCATACTTAAATTGATCCTTTAAAATATTAGAAATGTAAGAATTAAAACCTTTACTGCTTACTCTACAATACTTTTAAATTAAATTTATGATATAATTAACATAAATATTTTTTTTTGTTTAAAATACTAATTACCTGAGGGCGGTCGAGCTGTAACTTTAGACAATGTGATCTGTCCATAAAAATTGTTTGAACTAGTTACAGTATTAGGAAATTGATATTCCAAAGGAGATGGAGTACGGGAATTATATAAAGGTGAAGGTTGCCCTAAAACGTTTGTACTGGCTAATGGGTATAAGCCAGCATAAGGGTTAGGACTGGTTTCTACAAAATAAAATAAACATTAAATATCACCATTAAATTAATAAAACCTTTAAATATTTATAAACCTGGTTCTTCTTTAATAGGAACAGAAATAGACATTGGATCAATCACCATTCCTTCAATAAAGTTTGATGATGGGGCAATGAGTCCTAGAATTATATTCAATACAAAGATCAACTAAATATAATTACTTAATTACATTAGAATAAAAGCATTTTAGAAAAATATTCACAAAATACACAATTGCAAAACAAGCATGTTTACATTACAGCATTAATATTGTAAGATTTTAAAAGCAAACAAAGAAAAAGGAAATAAAAATTCTGGAGAAAATTAAACTAGATTAAAATAGACTTTCAAATGTTTCATCAAATTATGAGTTGAATAGTTTTAAAATTTTAATGTAGTTTCGAAATAGTTTCATAACGTTCTTTATTTAAATCTTTATATATATATATATATATATGTTAGTATACATCTAGTTTTTATATATATATATGTAATATAGTATGCATTTTATGAATATAATCTCATAAAATTTTTTATAAAACATCATGCAATCTAAAATCTAATGTAAATAGAATTTAATTACTACATTTCATATTTGGTTATTAAGCATAAAATAAAATATAAATGAACTTCAAATCTACTTAAGAAAAACACACACAACCATAATAAAATATTCTCTACCCCACTTTTACTTACTTAATATTAATTCCAGTAATTAAGTTCCACTTTTTCATCTTGCTTTTTCACATATTAAGTAAACTATAAATTTATGGGTATACAATTATAAACAAAGAATGTTTCAACTCGAATATTAAAAGAATAGGAAATAAACACAACATTTTTGAAGAAATTAAGTTAAGAACAATAAATATATGTGCCCAATAAAATGATAAATATTGACAACATGCTAAGAGCATTGATTGATGTAAACTGACAACACCGGCACCGAATATTAACATTTTAAAATTCACCTTATATTACCCATGACTAATAAAGCTTTAATGTCATTTATATTTTAATTACTCACTGGGGTCACTCTGTAATTGCCTTAAAAGTTCACTTTCACTAGGTAATTTCTGTCTTTTCCTTTTCAACATGGCTGGATCTATAACGCGCAATAAACAATCAATAAAGATCAAGTAAACTTAAAAATAAATATATTTTTGAACATAAATTTGGCTTACAATGATACATGGCAATATAAGACATGAGAAACAAAAAGTTAACAGTTATGAGTTATAAAAATATTTTGTTTAAAAATATTATTTAGTGTAAATTATATTAAACAAAATAGCGTGTTCATCAGATTAACACACAATAATATAAAAATAAATTAACATTATTTTTTATTGTATTAAGTTGGACTAGATTGTTTAAGTCTATAATGTACTAGTTAATGGTTACTAAATAAACTTATGTTAATAATAATATTAGTACAAGAAGCAATATATTTTATCATTAATAACTATTGCCATTTAAAAACTAATTAAAACATGACCCTGTTATGTTTCTTATAAATTCTGTTGGACACTCTCTAAATAAAATGTTATTTAACAGGAGCAACTTTACCCCCCTCTACAGAACTATAATACATAGATGTTTCATCAAATTCCGACATTGTTGCATGAGGTGCAACAGATGTGTACAAAGCATAGTTTTCTGCTTCAGTTAATGGTGTATTATCAATACTACTGTTTGAAGAACAAAGGGATTTGCTTTTTTTCCGCATATTTAACAATTTATGTAATAGTTTAATTTTGGTTGTTTTTTCAGGAACAGTTGGAAGACGTTTTGTTGGTTTTACATTTTTTTTCAGTCGCTTAGGTGGCAAAGGTGGTGCTGGCTCGCTCACAAATCTTGGCTTAGAACTATTAGGAGGTCGTGGGGGTATAGTCATAGCTACATCTTCATAACTATGGCACTTATCAGGCATTGAACAAGGATTTTTAAATGCCATTTGAAGACTGGAATATGTTCCACGCAAATCTTCTTTAGTAGTTTCTATTTCTATAGAGGATTCACTTGATGTATCACTTTCATTTTCTTTATTAACATCAAAAAGTTTAATATCTTCATTTTCATTTTCTAATGGTTCATATTTAATTTCAATTTCCATTTCTTCTTCATCACTACCACCACTATTGTTATTAAAAACACTGAGTGGTACAGTTTCAACAAAATGATCTTCTGATGATCTTTCAAATTTATTTTCTGGTAGTTTACTATATTTTTGAGGGGACATACCTGAATCAACCGGTGTTAACAAAAAAGGGCGAGCATCACTACACATTCCATCAGTGGGTCTTTTAAGCTGTATCCACACCTTAATTGGATAATCAATCTAAAAAATATAAAAAACAAAATTGACACTCACATATTTTGAGAATAATTTAATGTAGTGTCTTATTAAATAAAATAAGAATCAGTGATATTAAAACATGATTAGTCACAACTATTTATCTTTTTTGTTAAATTTACTTTACTCGGAGAAACAAAAAATTTGCACTTTTTTTCAGAATCTAACATGAAAAATTGCCATATTAATTAAATTATTTTAAATATAATACTAAATAACCCAAATTTTATTAATTATAATTAAATGAATAAAAAATAAATAAAAGAATTTAATAGTTTTTAATATTTAGACAGATTGATATCATTACACCTGTTACACAAGTGCACCTACAGTTAACAAAAAAACTTATTTAAAATTAAAAGGTTTTTTTAATTATTACTTTTATGGATTACTATGGAACATTAACAATTTGTTGAAGACTATTTTATAAATATACAAAAACCTTGGTTAACTTAAGGCGTTTAAAGATATGCATAATATTTATTTCAATGATCAGGTACCGAGATTAAATCCTATTCCTTAAAATTAAAAAAGGGCTTTTTTTATTTAATGAAAGAATTATCATTCAAGTGATTAAATATTAATCATATGACCAAAAATATTAATGAAATCTATCATTTTACCTGCAATGTTTTATATTTAGGAGTTCTAAAAGTAATGGCTACTTGTTTATGTACGTCTGATGGTTGAAAATCAGCATACCCTTCCCATGTACACAAACCATCTTGTTCTTCAAAAAACCTAACTTGGATATCATCTAAAATTTAAAAAAATATAAAGTTTGATGCCTTCAATTTTTTAATAAAATTATTATACCTTTAGTAACTTTTTCACATAGAAGAATAATTTCTCTACCTCCTGCAACTGATGCTGCAGCATCACTCAATCGACAAATAACTAAATCAGACATAGCTTCTGTAAGAAAAATCATACAATCTTTTAAAATTCAAGTTTTCTTTGAAAGTTCTATTAATTTGATAGTTAGTTAGTTTAAATGTTATAATAATATTATTAAATCAATTACAGTTTATAATTAAATACTATAATACAAATTTACTTTTATCATAAATTGGATCAGAAACAACTGGTTCAAGAATACTATATTTCCCTTTTTGTGATCCTCCTAAAAATGCTTGAAAGCATAATCTAACAGCATTCAAATCAATTGAACTTGGATTATCTTTATGTGAAAATCCCGCTGAAAATTATTAAAAACATTTAATGAGTACATTTCATTTCATAACAGCATGAGCGCATCATAAAATGCATAACTTACTAATTTAATTTCATAAAAGAACCCTAAATATGATAACTTTTTTTTTTTATTTTAATTCATTAATATATCATATTTATATTACATAATTTATAAAACATTTATTAAATTATGACTCTCAAAACAATTATTCTTTCATTGCTACATAAAGATTAAAACAATTATTTTTTATAAATAAAAAATAAAAAAGTATTGTTATCATTACTTTGATCAGTTAATGTTTAAACCATAGTAGTTTAAAATGTCTGAAATATTAAGAATTTTTACTATATCTATACCAAAAAAAAATAAATTGAATTGACACTCCTAGGCATAGGAATACTTTTTGCTCTAAAGGAGATTATCTCCTACACCTCCATAGCTACATTTCCAATTAGTATACATTGTTTTATAATAAGAAAAACAATTATAAAAATTCTGTTTACCATTTATGTACTCCAAGTATTTAAAACAAACTTTATAAATTTTTAAGTCCCAAGCCCTAATTATAATATATGAATTTGCCTGAAGTACATATATAATAATTTAGTTAAGTAAAATCAATAAAACGCAAAATATCTATAAAAGTAAATTATATTAATTCATCTAACATAGATAATAAACAAATAATAATAATACAACAAACACAGGAAATAGTATTCAAATTTTAGGTTACAATGTGTTTTAACTTACTTCTAAATGGATCCACTCGAATATCTTCACGAACTTTAAGAGCATCATCAATATCTTTTCTTTTAACACATTGAATTCCTAAATTTTGAAAACTAGCAGTCATTGATTCATTGTTAATCTCTATTGTACATATACCACGTTTGCAATTATCACGTCCGACAAGATTATGTGGATGAGGACGATAAGGTCTATCTTTTGTGACACAAGATACCACAACAACAGCTCTACCTTTATACCCAACAATCTGTAAATGTATTTTTTTATTAATAAATTTCAACTTAAATTACATTTAAATTTCATATTAAATAATTTTTACTTGTATTGTTGGATAAGTTTTATTTTCAGTAGTGCTATTGACACCAGGTATACTACCAGCAGATCTACCTTCACATTCATACCGAAATCTTAATGCTTTTGAAGCAGGTTGTTCAACAATTTTGATGTATGGTGCATTTGTTGGTCTTCGGCCGTTATTAGTTGACGGGCAGTCCATTTGTTGCATTGGATCAGCTCGTACGTGTTCTTCTATCACCTCAACTAAAATTATATAAAAGTTAAAAATTGTTAATTCAATATTATCAATTTAAAAATATATTCAGTATTAAATAAGTTCTAATTAAACAAAATAAGATATAATGGATAAATAATTGAACATAATGCATTATGAGTTCTTATTTTAACATTTTCAAATATACTTCTAATTTGTAAGTTATTTTATTACACTATCAAGTCAAAAGTATTAAAAAAATTCATAGAATATACATATAGTTCAATAGCATGATATTTCAGTTTCAATATTACAGTAGCTGAAATTGAAAATTCTTAATTGAATAAAAAATGAACATATTTTTATTTACCCTTGAATTCATAAAATGTATTAAATCTATCTCAGAACTGTTATTCAGTTAGTCAACAAATTTAAAATTACACAGTATAAAATTTAAATGTCACAATTAGTTAATTATTATTATCATTAGGAGTTAATAGATTCTGAGTACTTACTGACATCACTCAGATGAAGATCGGGTATATTGGATTGATTATCATTTAGGTCCATAATTGGTTGATGCAGTTAACAATTACAAAAGCAAACAAACACACACATGGGAAACGCTACATTCAATTACAAAATAAAGGTAATTGATATAATTTTGTAAGATTAGGCTGATAGACAGCTTCTTTTCAAGGCACACAATGAATTGTTATAACATGCTTCAAACTACGCAAATAATAAAACACTCACAATAAATAAAATCGCAAAAACACAATATCAGTTAATTATTATGTTAACGTATAACACAAACCTGCGATTTTAGGTGAAGATTCATTATTTGCAAAACCTTATTTTTTAAAATGGATAACTAGTCCAAATAACAAACATAACTTGCATGTACAATAATTGGTAACAAAGTAACAGTAATAAACTGTATAAAAATAAATCTTCCGAGGAACAAGAATTAGTAAAAAAAAAAAAACATTAGACATATGATAATATTATACAAAATGAGAGGGAGAAGATGTGAGCAGATTCAATGATGCCCGCAGGGTGCCAAAACCTGTAGTGGACGGAACCGTGAATTAAATATACAATCAGTGTAGCCTAATATAAAGTACATAATGCTGTCGAAATAAATTTACTAAATAATAATTTAATTACCTAGTCATAAAAATTTTGTTATTTCCAGTGCCTTAGTTAGGTAGAATAAAACCACTATTCGCCAAAACTTTAATGTTTATGACGGTAATTATTGATCGAAAGGATTTACCCCTCTGACCTGTATTCAATTATGTCCCTAATTTACTATATTTAATTAAGTTGAGGAGTAAGTATTTATTTTCTAAGAAATGAGTAAACCAAGTTTATAATCCTTTTATTACTTATTCCTTATCATATATACGTATATGTTGCTACACATTCCTTGGGGGTACCTTACACTTTTCACTTTTTATTTGTCTTCAGATTTTTTTTTTAAATCCTATGCACGTCCCTGTTCTTTAAAATGTGTGAAAGTCTTTACTTTTGATTCGCACTATATTCCTTACCATTATTTTAATAATATATAGAATATACAATAAAATATGAAAACCACTCTAAAAATTTAATATCAAAATTATCAGAAAATGAAGTGCTTCATGCAACAATCAGATAAATCCAAATTTTTTAGAAAATAATTTTTTGTTAATTTTGAATAAATATGATTTTTTTGTATAATTCTGTACAAATATTAATTCTATATCTCCTATTTTTGATGGACATATTTAATTTAGTAAAATCGTTTTATCATTTCTTTTAATAAAAAATTTTTGATAAAACGCTTATTCTGAAAAATTAAAAAAAGTAGACTTAATTGGTTGTTTCACCTAGTCTTTTAATTATTATTTCTTAACTTTTAACAAAATTGAGGCGCACTCATTTTAATTTTTTTAAATAATTTTTCATCTATTTGCAATTAAAACACATAGACGTAAATCAGAAGAGACTTTGACTTAGAAAACTTAGCCCAACCCACCAAAAAAAAGTTATATTTAGTATAGTATTTTTTATGAATGCTTGTACAGGTACATTGTACAGTAATAAAAAAAAAACAGCACAGTGGGGACATGGCATAGATGGGTCAAGTATAATGATATCTGACAGTGATCATAAAAAATGATTCGATGCAAATTTGTAGATAGTGTTTAATTTTAAAAAAATTTTGTGGATTATTCCATAAGCTACATAATCTCTTATTTCCTTATTTATAACCGGATTACAAGTTCTATGATTTATAAGTGTAATATATATATATATAATATATAAAGGGAAATGGTTTTATTAAAAAAAAAAAGAATGTCGTATGAATGAGGTATATAAATAGTATTTATCATACAAAAATTGTATTGATTCATATATTTTCAAAAAGTTAAGCATTATAAAATTAAAAATATAAAAAGAATTTTTTTACAAATATCTTATTTGTTTAATAACTTTGATGTCTGTTTTCACCATGAAAACAAAATAAAGTCTGAGATTTTTTTTCCATAATAAAGTACATTACATTAGCTTTAATTTAAGATATATATAAAAGTGTCAGAATTTCCGGAATACTTTCAAAAGTTAAATTGAAAAAGTTAATTTTTTGTGAAAAAGTTGTCATTTTGAATCCCCCCCGTGGGCAGGTAAACGATCAAATTTATAAAAAGAATATATTAAATGATAGGTAAAGAGATTATGTATCTATAAAAAAAATTATATTGATTTGTTCATTTTTGAAAAAGTTATGGCAGTATTAAGTAAAAAAATTTCAAAAATTGGAAATTTTTAAATTTGTAGTTTTTTTTGGAGAATTCACGCATTTACGAGCAACGAGGGAAAATTTTTCAATTTTTGAGAGTAATTTCTTCGACTAGATACGATTTGTGATCTTTTGACGTATCGTTGAAAGAAATCGGTTCGGTGAGAACTGAGAAAAAGTAGTAACAAACACAAAAAAATAAATATAAAAAAAACACATAATAATAAAATTAATACCTTTTCAACTTCGCATCGAATTTAAAATTGGTGAATTATTCCAAAAGCTACATGATCTATTTCCATATTTATATCCTAATCTCTATACATTTTAAGAAATTTATATTTATTTTTATACAAAAAAAATTTACGGTAGAAGAAAATCAATTTAGCCCCATTAAAATTATTTACAAATTTACGCAAATGACAACTTTAAAGAATTATGTCATGTTCAGAAATTTTATATACAATATTTTAATGTAAAAAAAATCCATCATTGGAAAATTATTTTTTACTTATGAAATTGTCTACATATATTGTTAATTATATTAAATCCTATCTTCGTGATATACTAGATTTTAGAAATTAAAGATTTTAGATTAAATGGTAGTCTGCTATAATTTTTATTAGCTTCTTTCAAACAATGGAATATTATGTTAGTATTATCATTGCGAATTTTATTTAGAAATTTAAAAGCCTTAATTTTATTTTTTAGTTTGAATTATAGTAAAACGTTTAATAGTTAAGTACAAATACCTTATTATAAATTATTAAAAAATAGTTATCGTCGCTTGACTAAGGTTTTATAGCAGATTTTTATATCTTTCAGGAGAGTACTTTTTAAGTTTGAAAATATTTTTTTTTGTAACCTGTCATTGGAAATCTTTGGTATTTTGATTAAGTTACAGAGTACTATAGTAAATGCAATTAAATTTGTTTATTCATTTTCTATTGATCATAGTTTGAGTAAACTATCTAGTAAAAAATAGAAATAAAAAAAAAGTTCTTCACGAAGAACCCTTGCATTCTAAGTAAACAAATTATACTATTATTTAGAATCTATTAAATACAAAAAATATATATATTAGCGATATAAATGTAGTGTTTATCATAGAACTAATCAAAAACCTTTTTTTTGCTTATTACTTTTTGTGATAATTCTGCAAATTTGTGTACAACACACCACTCCCTACAAATAGTATGTATCAAAATAAGGTTTAAACAATACATATTTTCAGTACTCATTTTTATAGAAGTTAAAATACATAATTTATTTAAATTTTGACAAAATAATACAACAAGATAATAAAGTTAATTAAATAATATAAGAGAAAATTGATTTTATGAATAAAAATGTTATTGTATGTGTCGATTTAGTGACTTGGGTATCTACTATTAATGTAGGTAGACAGTTCCGAATACGAAGATATGAGTAAGTTGCACTTAAGTATTAAAATATGTCCTTGAAATTGAAATGAGATGTAAACAATCTAAGGAAAAAAAATATGAACGCATACCACACAGAACTGCTGCGCTTGTATAATTGCTAAAACACATACTAAAGTATACGCCATAGGTATTTCCTTCCTCTATTAAATTAGTTTTGTTAAATATATATATATATATAACATAATAAATACTTTGAATAATATTAATTATATATTTATTTATATATTTTTAAATACGTGTTGTATGGTAGTTGTATAACATTTATACAAAAACTTAAAAATTAGAATCTGTGATAGACTATCATAAGTATAATAAACCTAATTCAGGAAGAGGGAGAAGAAATTTTAATAGTACGTTGAAGTAGAGTGGGAAGGTTATTTTCAATATTTTAAGAGAAAGAGATTATTTAACAACTATTATTATTTTCGATCAATTAAAAAAGAAAACATATTTTAGAAGTTAAACATAATTTATGTGATGTTCCAACTTCAAAGTTAAACAAAACCGACTTTGGGTTATTCAGTTCAATTCGAAAATCAATTTTTAAAAATTGAACCAAACTTTTTTATTGTAAAAATTGTAAAATTTTATTGTGTATCAAATCACGCTAAATGTATTGAATTACAACATAAAAAAACCCAGCATAGGGGGATCGTGGCACAGTAATGACGTGGCATAGTTGGATCAAGTATAATGATATCTGACAGTGATTAAAATCACTATCATAAAAAACGCTTCGATGCAAATCTTTAAATAGCATTTAATTTTAAAAAATTGGTGGATTATTCCAAAAGCTACGTGCTATTTCTTTATTTATATCCTGATTAAGATAAAGTATGTCGAATGAAAAAGGGATATTAAAAAAAATGTGATGATCCATACATTTTCCAAAAAGTTATAGCATTATAAAGTTAAAAATATAAAAAAAATTTTTTTTACAAAAATGATATTTTTTTTATTAACTTTAAAGTCTGTTTTCACCGTGAAGACAAAATAAAGTCTAATTTTTTTTTTTCCATTATAAAGTACATTACATTATATATATATGTCAGACTTTATGGAACACTTTCAAAAGTTAAGTTTAAAAAGTTAATTTTTTGTGAAAAAGTTGTCATTTTGAATCCTCCTGTGGGCAGGTAAAGAGATTATGCATCTACAAAAAAAAATTATATTGATTTGTTCATTTTTGAAAAAGTTATGGCAATTTTAAGTACAAAAAATTTAAAAAATTAGCAATTTTTAAATTTGTAATTTTTTTGGAGATTTCACCCATTTACGAGGAAACATTTTTCAATTTTTGAGGGTAATGTCTTCGACTAGATACGGTTTGTAATCTTTTGACGTATCGTTGAAAGAAATCGGTTCGGTGAGAACTGAGAAAAAGTGGTAACAAACATAAAAAATAAATAAAAAAAACACATAATAATAAAGTTAATACCTTTTCAGCTTCGCATCGAATCTAAAATTGGTGAATTATTCCAAAAGATACATGATCTATTTCCATATTTATATCCTAATTATTAGTTATATGATTTATAAGTGTAATATATGAAGAAATATTTATTATAGCAATTAAATTAGTATGAGATTGATATTTAATAATTTAGTATTGTAATTTTTTCGAAGATTATATAAAAAATTATACAGTAGTTATTACTTTCATGACAAACACGTATAAAAATTGAAAGACTTAACAAAAAACTTTTTAGATAATAATTTCTTATTAATTATGAATAAATGGTCTGCAAAAAATGTTCATCAGAGTCAAAAATGTACTTTTATTATTCAATTTTTTTCTAATTTCAAATCAGCAATAATATTTTTTCTATCGCCAATAATTTTTGATATTACTCCTAATTAGTTAAAAACTGTGAGATATAACTATAAGGAAAAATAGTTCTGAATATTTATAATAATAATACAATTGAAATCAATTGTATTATCTATTTTAACACTAAGAGTTACATAAAAATTATTAATATCTATTTTGAAATGATTTATTATGATAAAAAAAAAAAATTAAAAATACAAAAAAAATTGTTTTTAAATTATTACAGTTTTCGATTTTTAATATGTTAAAAATAATAAGTGCAAAATATCATTTTTAACCATTTTTTTTTGTCTTTTAAAGTTGATTTTTTGAAATTTTATTATTAAAAAAAAGTTGAATTTGTTACCATAACTTTTAGCTTAACTTCGAGTTTGAAATTTAAATAATTAAATTGGAAATTTTATGTGAATTAAAAAAGTGGTAATGATAAGGTTAATATGTAGTCAGGAAATTTTATAATTACTATTTACTGTAAATTTATCATAAAAGCTCAATATTTTTTTTCATTTTTATTGTAATAGATCATTTAAATAGAAATCATAGTAATCATTTCTAAGTAATTTTTGGCGTTCAAAAATATTCTACAATTGAAATATTCAGAACTTAATTAATTTAAATGATTTACTTCATCTACAAATAGATGACATCTGATAGTGATTAAAAAGAATTAAGATTAAGATTAAGAAACGCTTTTATACAAATATGTAGATTTTATAATATATAAAATATGTATAACAAAATTAACTCTTATATCATTAATTATATACTAATTAATGGTTCCATTATTTATAAGTATAATATATTAATAAATATTTATTATAGAAATTAAATATAGTATGAAATTGATTTTTAATAATTTAGTATTGTAGTTTTACGGAGAAATTATAAAGTAAAAAAGTTATAAAGTAGTTGTTACTTTCATGGCAAAGACGTATATAAGTTGAAGGGCTTGATACAAAACTTTTCAATTTGTTTTAATTATGAATAAATGGTCTACAAGGAATTTTCATCAGAGTCGAAAATATACTTTTTAAAACCATTTTTCGAGATAATTTCAAATCTGCAATTAGATTTTTTCCATCGCAACTAATTTTTATATTATTAATAATTAGTTAAAAAGTAGTATTAAAATATAAATAAAAGCGAAAAGTTATGAACTTTTAGCTTAATTTCAATTTTGAAATTTGATTTTTTTTTTTTAATTTTAAAATAACTATTTTTAGCGTCACAAAAAAAGTTCCAGAATCGATAAATTTGAATTACATAGAATAGGAAAATAATGTGAATGGAGTATACTTATCATTGAGCTTATACGCCAGTAAAAACTATACCCAACTCTACATTTCATATCACTCTGTTTCATAAAAAGGATATGTAGAGCAGGAGGATACACCTTGTTAAGATAAACTTTTTTAATTCAATCTTTTTTTTTGACTTGTGATAAATAACAAAAAATATGCTTTGAAACCAGTCCAAAGCAAAATTAAAAAAAAATTTCAACAAAATAATAACTGTATCAAAAGTTTGATAGAATTATAAGCCTTTGTCAATTAGATCTGAGACATTCTATATACTTTCAATTTAATTATGGATTACACAGAGTGACAATGAGAACAATAGAAACCCGTTTCCTTACTTACTGAACAACATATATGATAATTTAATAACAAATAAAAAAACATTGTACATTTTTTATACACTAAATGTTTAGACATTTAATTATTTTTAATTTAAAAATAATACAACTATTAGGCATTTTTATTTATAAAATTGTATTTAAATTAAAAAATTAATTTTAATACTTAATAGAATTTATTTAAATATAAATATATTGAAATATAAGTGGTTTAATTACAATATAAAATAATAATTTACATATTTTTGTACATTTGTAATATTAATTTTTATATAAATGTATTAATTAAACAATCAATAAGTATGATAACTTAATTTTTTTTAAAAAACTTATGTAGAATTAGTTAAACTTGCCATCAGAAGTTCAATTTTATTCAAAAAATTTTTACCCTCCATTTTGTCCCATCGAACATTTTTAAAAGAGCCGCCTAAATTTTCCCATTTTCTTTCTTTAACTAGTTGACCACCAAAAAAATCTTTTTTAGGTGAATGTGCAATACTCACACTAACATTACCCTGAGGTTCACATTTCACAGATATTAATCTACATTAAACAATTGTTTTTTATTATTTAAAGCATAATAAATAGATCATTTTCTTTTTAAACTTACCTATCTCCTATTGGAGAAGCTAATAAGCATGAACTAGCATTACCCATAGGTTCAACTGGTCCTAATCCAAGATGTGACGAACTAGCCAAAAATTGCCAACCATGTGTTTTTGCAATAGATTGCACACCAGCAATTTGATGTTGGTAAACCTATCAAAAATATATATTTAAATGCTCAAAATAGAATATTTCTATCTTACTTGACAAAATATTAAATCTCTCAATTCTTGAGGTTCATATGATAAATACATCACTCTACCATCTCGGCAAATACATTTTAGTGATTTTTTCATTACATGGATGACTAGAGAGGTTCGACATATACAATCAAATCCATGAGAGACAATAGTAATTTTAACACAAGATTGAGTAGGAGAGTTTAATGAATTCCAATGAGATATTATAGTTGGATCTTTTACCTAACAAAAAAAAAAAAAAAAAAAAAAAAAAAAA